AGGGGATACCCTTACCCCCAGCTGGCAACAGCTTGTGCAGTGTGAAAAGGCTCCAGGGGATCTGGAGGAGCTGGATTGCGGCTGGTCTTTACAGCGCAGAATCTGCAACCGCGGGTGCAGGTGTCTCCGAGGAGCATGATTGTGGCAGTGGAAATGCCGTCTCCGCCTCCATTCCAGCACTCGCCGATGTTGGGACACTGCGCTTCCTCGCACACAGTATGTAGCTTGAGCCCGGATAGTGTCTCCTTCACCTCAAGGTACTTCTTCCCCTGTGGAGCCTTCTGCCTCAGCCATTCCGGCTTCTTCTGGTTGGGATCTCTTCCAGTGTAAGGACCCATTCCGCCAGGGTATGGCTGCGATTTCGGCGTCTTCTCCTCAGTGAATTCACAGCTAATTGCTACTCTTCTACGTGTGGATCTGGGTCGAAAACAAGATAATGAAGTTGACGGATTCCAGAAAGTTTTATTATCAATGCAACCATGGCTAAAGGTAGGAGAAGATGCTGGAATTGTGGGGAGACAGCATTGATGAACCATTGCCGTTCTGTTCGTCGGAAAAGTTGAAGATATAAAATGCAAATTGAGTTAATGGAGATCATATAAGAAGTGTCAAGAGAACAATAAGGAGCGTGTGTTCCCATATCAAGTTATCAACTACCATGGATTTCTCCGCCTCCCCCTATCCTGGCTTCTATTCTTCAAAATTCATTCTTTTTAATGAATTCTTCAAAAATCATTTATCAACTGCCCTCCAAAATTACCAATTTCTTTTACCTTTCACTTTCTCCTCTCTTTCTCTCTTCCATACAAAAATACTCTCTTCTTTCTTTTTTATATCTTCCATTTTCACCATCGCAATCCATTCATCCTAATCTACTTTGCCTATCACACTAGTTGGAGTGGGAGATGTTATCCGACTTATTGTCTATACCTTGTAAAGTATGGTAGGTGTTATCTCAAAAAATTAAATTGAAAAATTCATAAATGTATGTAAACAATTAAACATATATGTTCACGTAAACATGTATATGCACATAGGGATGTTTGGAACTGATTTTTCTTCTGCTTCTTTTTTAAAATAGAAGCATAATTAGAATCAATTTTCAGAAACTGGTACCTATCAGCTTCTAAAAAAACTGATTCTGAGAGTAAATTAGAGCACCATAAGTGCTTTTGGAATTTCACCCAAACACTCCAACTTCTGCTTCTGCTCCCTGAAACAGTAGAATCAGTTTTGAGAATCAGATACAAACACCCTCATATACAAAACATACATGCGAACAAACACTTTTCTATGTATACACATAATTAATGTGTATATAGACATCTAATGTATGTGTAGAGAACATTAGTTTGTACGTACACGGATATTTTTTAATTTTTTTTATTAATAAAGAATGAAATATATTAATAGTCAAATTGGTGTTGTGGCAAATGTTAAAATTGGAGGAATTGTATTTTTACATAATTTTACCATTTCAATCAAAGGTACATCAACTTCAACAAGTTTAGCAATTTTAGTGTTACCCAGTCACTATAAAACTCACATTGAAATACTACTATTATTGATATTGAATCACACGTGTTTTTAAATCGGTAGACATAAGTTTTATTACACCACAAATTAGAAATGTTGGTAAATTCTTAAAAATTGGCAAGTGACAGGTAGTTATTTATTTACACTGACGGGATATACGGAAAAGATTACACTGACGGGATATGCGGAATAGAAAAAGTCCCACTTCTATTAGAGCATCTCCAATGGGCTTCTTTCAACATAATAAAAAATTGCCACGTCATTAATTTCAAAAGTATGGTGGTAATTTTGTCTCCAGCCCGTTCTTTTATTAGGTCTTTGGAGCTTATGTGGATTCAACGCTTTCAAGAACTATGTTGGGATTTCCACAGCCTGTTTAACACCCTGACTCAGCAATTTGGGAGCAATATGTGCAACTCGTGAGAAAAAAGCGGGCAAATCTAGAACAAAAAAATCGTGGGCACCGTTTCTCAAAATTAAGGAGTAAGGAGGTTTTCTTTTAGACTGTTTTCAGTCCCAGACAAGACAAGACCAGACTTAAACAGATCAGACCAGATTAGACCAGACTTAAACAGACCAGACCAGACCAGACCAGACCAGACCAGACCAGACTTGGATAGTTATAAAATACACAAAGACCAGACGTTTACCAGACCAGACCAGTTCAGACCAGACTTAAACAGACCAGACCAGATCAGACCAGACCAGCAAATTTCAGTCCAAAAGAAAACATCTTAAATCTGGAAAACCAAAATAATTCTTGTATGACTCATTACTATATTAAGCCATAAAGTGTATACGATTGAATAAATTGACTAATTTATGATTTAAAAGAAAAAAATTTACATCGATCAGATGCTGCAGCCTGCAGTTAAATCATATGGCGTATAGGTTGGAAGAATATGACTACATCTTAGATGCCTTTTTTGTTTTAGGATTCAACTACTCCGTATATTAATCATATAAAATGACACGTTGATAATAATTTAAGATGTTAACATTATGCATTGGAGAACATTTATTAAGTTCTTTTAATGTGTAATTGATGTGGATAGACATAAACTTAAATAATTGACATTTGGCAAGATTTAGGCACCCTCAAAAGATTTAGGCTCTTAGATTTCTTTTCTAAAAGGTACGTTTGAGAATCTAGTTTTGAACAAATAGTAACAATAAATCAAGAACCATATCAAGAACAATTTATTTAAGGGAGAATTTGACTTTGCACCCCACTCTTTGGATGCTATTAGACTTTGCACCCCATATAGAAAATTTCTTCACAAAATGTTATGTGTCAGGGTGCAAAATCAAAGTTTTTTCAAATTGGAGTGTAAAGTCCAATATCACCAAAAAAGTGGGGTGCAAACTCAAATTCTCCCTTTATTTAACCATAAGAAAATCATATTGATTTCATTTAAGGTTCTACTTCAAGTCTTCAATGAAATAAAATCAATCGGTCCGAATCATAAACGAATCATGTCAAGTGTCAACCTATATTTCCACCCTTGTACAGTTGCACGTGAGACAGGGACGACATGACTTACAAGGCAAAGGTATTCTAAATCCCAGTTTAAATAGGCGCCGCTTTGAATAAAAAAGGCCCCATGCACTTCATGAAGCTCTAGTATGGTTTAGTCATGGACCCGGGCCGGGTCTAGGCCCGGTCGGGCTTTTGAAAATTAGGGAAAGCCCCGGAACCGGCCCGGGTTTCCATCATGTACGGGGCGGGCCGGTTTAAATTTTTTTTTTTTGGCTTTTCTAACTACCCCTGACCCTCCCCCCTCACTCCTCACACCCCCCACCCCCCAAACCCCCACTAAACACCCAGCCCCACCCGGTGGAAACCAAAGGAAATTGAAAAAAAAAAAGAATATGCCCGAACCGGACCCGGGCCCGGCCAGTTCGGATTTCCCCTAGCCCATACCCGCCCCGGTTACCCCCCACAAACCGGGCCTGGAACCAGTACCCGGGCCGGGCCCAAACAGTACCGGTCCAGGCCGGTTCCGGGCCGGGCCACCCGGCCCGAGTCCATGACTAGTATGGCTGAAGGAGGAAAAGGACACAATATGTTGACATGGAGTACGATGCAACAGGCTGTTTTCTGCAATAATGAAGGACTGGGTTTGTTGTCCTAAATTTAAAAGTATTAAGGGGTTTTTACTTCAATATTACTAATTTTGAACCAATTACCCAAAAAGTGATCACTTTTAAAAAGGGGCAAAAAGTGATCAAGAAGACCATATATGTGGAATTAGAAAACATGATGTCACGGTGTTCGTTTTTTTTGTAACTACGGCCACCACCTATGTCACTGTAGCCACCGCCCGTGTCACTGTAGTCACCGCCCGTGTCACTGTAGCCACCGCCCGTGTCACTGTAGCCACCGCCCGTGTCACTGTAGCCACCGCCCGTGTCACTGTAGCCACCGCCCGTGTCACTGTAGCCACCGCCCGTGTCACTGTAGCCACCGCCCGTGTCACTATAGCCACCGCCCGTGTCACCGTGATCATTTTTCGTTTAGTGACGCGACCAGCCTTAGTCACTGTGGCCACGGCCGGCCGCCACAATGGCGGCTGTCCCCGCAACATCCCTGCCCTGCCCTGCCCCACCACCATCACCACAGCCCTGCACTACCCCATCACTCTAGCCTAGCCCTGCCCATATCACCCCAGACCTGCCTCATCATTTCAGCGCTACCCCACCCCATCATCCTAGCCACGCCCACGCCCACACCCACAAGCCCTGCCCCAAACCACCGTCCACCGGAGCTGGCCCAAACCACCTGACCTGCCCCAGGCCCTCAGCCCCAACCCCTGCAATCACCACGCCACCGCAACCCGCAGCCGCCACCACCATCCGCAGCCACCACCACCATCACCATCTGCTGCCACCACACCAGATCTGAAATTCTAACCAACTGAATCTCCACCGCAAATCCGCAATCGAAGCAATCAGTCAACGGTGGATGTCGCCTCCAAGGTTTGAGACGCCATCGCCGAACAGAACGGAGGACCGATGGCTTCGAGCGCCGGAGAGGATTGCGCCACCGTGCGAAGAGAAGAGGCGCCTCCGACTCTGTGCAGTGAGGAATGAAAATCGACGATGCGCCATGGCCGGTGGCTTATGCAGGCAGAGAGAAAGATGACATGGCCGTGCGACGGTGCGAGGAGAGAAGATGCCTCCTGTACGAAGAGGCATCCGAACTCCAAAGAAAGTTTGACGGGATTAATGGGCTGGGGGATATTTTAAAAGCACACATATTTGTCTAATCTTAAAATTGTCATATTTTTGCCTACCTAAACTCCACACATAATATTGGTGCCATTCTTTCAAGTATTAATTCCTTCTTTTTGCTATGTGATCTGCCAATCTCCCGCTCATGCCGTAGGGCGTAGCAGTGTAGCACTGACATCATTTTCTTCATTTGGTCACTTAATCTGGCTAAACTAGCACACTTATGTTTGGTGGAAACAGCCCTGTGATATTAATACAAAATTGCCTTTTTGTAAATAAAAAAAAAAATCAAAATTCCTGAACCACCTGCTTATCTAGAATCAGATCATGCATCAACTGCAAAAGAGGCATACCACTGTTTCAGTTTGAATTGGAGAATCAACAAAAATGAAACATAAAATAGAAAAGAAAACTACTTAACAACCGCTCTGCATCATTTGGATAAATCATCATTGCTTGCTTTTTAAACCTATCACTAAACTCTTCTCAATATAAGGTTAGTTTAAGAAGCATTAGATGACGCGTCACTCGTCATTTGAATCTTCTGAATCAGAGCCATTGACCATCTTTTCCAGTGTTTCCATGTTCCCAACGTCTGAGATAGTATGCAACCTAAGCTTTTCAGCATCCTCACTACGAAATCAAACAACCCACAATAGTAAAAGAGAGATATTAGTCGACACACATTGACTCTAACACTAAGGTGTTCTGGAAGCAAGCACTTACTCTGCTACCCCAAATAGTTCTTTAACAGTTAAGGAGCTACCCCTCGAACAAAACTCTGGCAACTGGTAACAAAATGAAGAAAACAATCAATGAATGCGGTTTAACTTCGCAATTGGCAGAATGATCTCAAATATAGATCTGATACTTTGATTTTCCAAGGCAAGGAACGAGTAGATCACAAACAACTTTATATTGTTTGGCTATGAGCAATAAATAATAACATTAGCGCTCTCTGGACAATTATTATATGCATTGAAGCAAATGGTTCACTGCTGATTTAACAAAAATTTAGAGTGTAGTCAAAGATGCCAATTTCCTGGAATGGACAAGCCAATAAATAGAGGCTTGCAGAATAATCCACACTTTGACTTTACCTCTGGCTGATCAAAAAAGAATTGAATGAATTACTAGAGCAGATGTTAAGAACTTGTATCCATGTCCATAATTATTATTAACATTTTCTCCTAAAATAATAGCCATCATCTCATTAATTTACCATACAAGTAGAACAACCTGTGATTAAGATGGTTTTCAAACTTCATCTCATTCCTCCTAGATAAAATACTAAAATGTAAGATCAGTCAGCATAAAACTTTGATACTGTTTCTCAGCACACATGTATATTGTTGCCTAGATTCATCAACACCATAAATTTCATGCCATTCATCAAATGGGGAGATAAATGGCATTAGGTTCCCTATATGATGGTTGCTTGGTTATCCAACCAAACACTGAGTCACGGACCAGGCACAGGCTACATGATTGCCATATTTTAAAATTTGAGACCCAAATTCCCAAACGGGGAGATAATTGCATTGAATCCCGTTTAGGGAAGAGGGAAGCTAGTATATGTACATCTTCTGCAGAAAACAAATTAGAAAATGTAGCCACCAATCACAATTAGGCCATCACCACAGTTAGAGTTGAAGATCCCACCTCTGACAAATAATAAATCTTTCCAAATAGAGTTTGCACTGCAAGTTTTCTCTTGAAGCCCTTTTCAGAATAGCCTGACATGTCCATGACAACGGGTCCTGAAAATACAAATAAACCATATTTAGTATACAGAACATATGTTTGATATCCAAACAAGCATCTGATGTTTCAAAATCTCATATTTGATCCAGCAACCACTATAAATTCAATAGAAATTACTTCAAATAGGACTAAAACTATGACAAAAACTCAAAATAGGACTTGCTATGTTTTTTTTTTCCAAAATAGGACCACAGTGGTCCTATTGGAAACATACTCATTTCTTCCTTCCATTCTTACCCCTCCTTTAAATATTAGTAAAAGATAGCTAAAAGTCATAAATAAATGTTTAATTCATAATAAATTCGAAAAAAATTCAATAATTCGTAGAAAAATAATAAAAAAATTAATAAAATTTTTATAAAATAAAAAATAAGAAAAAAAAAATTTAAATTTTTTTTTTTTAAAAATTAATAAAAAATAGTAAAACTCCATAAAAAAAATTAAAAAAAATATGGATACGTTTCCCACCGCCTGTACTACCTCCCTGAACCACCACCTCCGATCGGTGTAAAAAATGCCACTTTTTTTTTTAAATTCCACAAAAATGGCATATTTCTCTATGAGAATGCCAACATTTTCATTCTGCCAACTTGAATCCTTTTGACTTTTGCCAAAAATATGGCATTCATAATTTTTTTGGCATTTTTTTACCCCGGTGACAGGAGGTGGTGGTACCGCCTCCCTGCACCACCGCCTCCCTGCACCACCACCTCCGACCGTTAAAAAAAATGTCATATTTCCTACAAACTTCCATTTTTTTCGGAAAATGCCAAAAATATGGCATATTTCTCTTTGAGAATGCCAACATTTTTTTTCTTCCATCTTAAATCATTCTGAATTATGCCAAAAATATGGAATTCATAATAAATTTGGCATTTTTTCCCCAAATGACTAGAGGTGGTGGTGCTGGGGCGGTATAGGCGGCGGTGACAAAAAAAATATTTTTTTGATTTTTTTTTTAATTTTTTTTTATTTTTTTTTAATTTTTATTTTTTTTAAATTTTTTTTTTAAATTTATTATTATTCAGAATATTTTTATTAATTTTTTGGTATATTTTACGAATTTTTATTATTTTTTATTATTTTATTATGAATTAAAACATTCCAATAGGTATAAGGGTATATTTGTCCAAGACAAACATAATTAGTCCTATGGAAACATAGTTTATTTTTTGGTCCTATTTGTGCAAAGTGAATGACTTTTAGTCCTATTTTGATAATTAACTCTTGGCACACAAGTATTCTTCTTTGTTTTTATTTTCTTCCCTCTAAACATGAAGGTATGTGCTTTGCAGTTTGCAGTAAAATTAATTTAGCTAAAACACACGTCTTACCAACAAAAGCTTGACCTTGAGAAAGCATAACTTTTTAGGCACACTGGCAATGCAATGTGTGTGCATGTGTGTATTTTTCAACAAATTATACCAACTAATACATTGTATTTAGTTGCAAGCAGCGGCAGACCCAGGGTAGCAGAGGGTTACCCCCGCCATTACCTATACATATACGCACCCATTGGTACATAAGTAACATAACTACATATTGTAGCAGTGGACAGAGATGATGGTTCCATGCAATACGAGACTTATGATCACTAGTTCCACTTTCCCCCGAGGCCTCGAACACTTCGGTTTTTCAACTCTATTTATTGAAATATTGTGAGTGTCAATTCATAAGTACTGTACTAATGGAGAAGTGGAAAGTCCCTTTGATCTTGAATTGATCAGGAGCTATAAAGTTGTTTTGGAATTGCATGAGGGATTAAAGTAAAAATTCAAAAAATCTCAGTTAAACACATAATTTTTATTGGTCTCCAGTTTCATCCAAACATTAACAAAAAGGTTTTTATTCCATCCAAATATTAAGTGGATACATATATAAACATGAATCCATAAATATTAAATGCCTCAAAGTCTCCTTTTAGTTCCTTTTAGGGATAGATTTAGGTGGTTTATAACTTGATATTGTTCCTGCATTTTCTAAATAAACCCCAAACCACACAAATTTACTGTCTTAATAAGCCTTTCAAGTTGAAGTGGGAACTGTTTTAGCATGGATGTAGTATTTCTTGCTGAATTTGAACGTGTTATTTATGAAATGGTAGAGCCATTGTGGCATACATGAGTTACTATTACAGTTTCAGTTTACCCGACCACCCTCACTGAACTTTATGTGTCTGGCTGGCACTTGTCGCAATTCATAAACATGACTTGTTTTCTAAAATCGAACCACTTGACATTAGCCACTTATATTCCCTTGTATGTGAGTTATATTCCCTTGTATGTGAGTACAGGATGTTTCTATACCAAACAAACATCATCTCTTCACACTTGATGCTTAAGTCTTCTTAAATAGGTTAAACTGGAATTTATAAGGACTGTACTACAAGTATCCGTAATAGTGTACGGAGGATTGCATTTCCCATTACTATTGGAGTGCACCACGGATCGGATTAGAGTTCTTTCTTATTTGTTATAGTCATGTATGAACTCACGAAGTCAAAGATATATCATTGTGCATGATGCTGATGATATTGTATTGATTGATATGACAACATAGAGTGTTAAAGCAAAATTGGAAGTATGGCGACAAATTCTGGAGAAGAAGAGTTTTAGACTGAGTCGAAACAACATTGAGTATATGGAGTGCAAGACTAGTGGAGGTAGAAGCAATGGTAACAATGGGATTAACTTAAATTGTAAGAAAATACTGGTCATTGATTTGTTCTGTTACCTAGGCTCCATAATACAGAAAGACGTTGAACTAGATGAATATGTATCCTACGAATCAGAACAAGATGGATGAAATGGAAAAATGTGTCGGGATTTCTATGTGATCGAGGTACACCGATTAGACTGAAGGGCAAGTTTTATCGGTGATAGAGTATTTAATTCTAGAGAGAAGTGAGAGCTAAAGAGAGAAAATGAGCAATTAATATTTCTCAACCCCTAATAACTACCCCCAAGGGAAGTATTTATAGGTAAAAAAATGTGTATTTGGGCTCCTAGTCTTGGGTTTAGGAGGCCCATTACACTAATCATGTCTTCTTTGGGCGGAATAGGGCCACTAATGTGCTGAGTACAACACTAAGTAAAAAAGATAGGAAAATACATTCTACCAAGATAACTCTTGGCCGATGCGGTGACTTTTGGCCGACGCGGTCCTCTGGCCGATGCGGTCCATGGCCGATGAGGCCCATCTGTCCTCCAGAAGGTGTCCTGAGCTGATCTGGTTCTGGCCGTTGCGGGACCCACTGGGCCGAGGGGGGCCACGTGGATGTCCCTCTGGTATCGTTGACCTTATGAGTATGTGAGCCATGGGGTCCAAGCCCATATATTCTATCAATCGGATAGCAATGTTATATTCAAAAGATGAGTGTGACTGAGATGCGCAAATTGTGTTGGATGTGAGGACATACTAGAAAAGGCCGCTTGGAGAATGATACAATCAGGCAAAAGGTAAAAGACAAGATGCGAGAGTCTCAAATGCGGTGGTTTGGACATGTGCATAAAAGACCGAGTGATGCACTTATTGAACGAGTGGAGAGGTTGGGAGAAGAGGTATTGAGTAGAGAGAGAGAGAGAGAGAGGAAGACTCAAATAGACATAGATTAGAGCAGTCGCGAATGATATGATACTTCTTCGGTTATATGAGAGTATGACTTTAGGGAAAGATGAATGAAGAATCTAGGTGCGGAGGATTGGTCTCATTTTAACCTTTTTATTTTTTCCTCTTCTTATGTTCTTTTCTATCTTTTTATCTTCTCTTTTGTTATCTTTTTTATTTTATACTTTCTATCTTAATCTTATCTTTCTCTTTACTTTTTCTTTATCTCATCTTATATTTTTATCCTTTTTATCTTTTTTAACTCCGATTTTGTATATTGATTCATGTTAGGTAACCTCAAATTCTTTTGGGACTAAGGCTTAGATGTTATTGTTATTGTGTTGTACAAAATAATAATCCCATAAAAGTTGAAAATATATATAAAAAAAAAGGAATTTTATCAATTCAGGACCCGAATGATAAACGAGTTATCAATCCGGGATCTGAAAGATGAAATGTATCAATATAGGACCAGGATCACGGAAAACTATCGATTTAGGACCTGAATGATCGAAAATTATCAATCTAGGACCTAAATTGTCATGAATTTTATTAATTTTTTTATTTTAAAAGTTTTAAATATTATTTAATTTTATTAAACTAATAAACTTTTGTGAAGATAAGTTTATCAAAAATTAACAATGGAATTAATAAAAAAATTAAATAAATCAAAACCTATGAAATGTGAGATCCTAGATTGATAGTTTTCCATCATTCGAGTTCTATATTGACACACTTCATCTTTCGGGTCCCGGATTGATAACTCATCTATCTTTGAAGTCTTTGAATTGATAAAATTCCTTAAAAAAATGGTTGGCCACATAGTTTTATTCTATTACCTTTGTCTTTCACTATACGTCTTGAGATTTCATTCAGAATTCCAGCTACTTGAGAATCACTTAACAGTGAGGCCTTCCTAAGTTGAATTAGATCAGCTACCAAATCTGGGTTAAAAGGCTTCTCATTCAAGGCATATCGAATATATTTGCGAAAAATACTCGCCACATCAAAATTTGTCTGCAAAAGCACAATAACTTTGTCAAAATTTATCAGCAACAAATAATATAAACCGCATGCTCAGAAGCCAGAGGAAGCACCCAAAACAAGTAAACAACAAAACATTAACTGTTGTGAGTGTAAAAAAATTGAACAGATCAACAGTCAAACTCAGTCCTTGATTCTTTGATTTTGATGTTTTGAAAATATCAGAATTATAAAACAACAATACGCGATAATAAACCAATAAGTTACTTAAGAAATATAGGTACACAATTAGGTCCCTTGGCTCATGCAAATATATTAAAAAGGATAGCTAAATCTGTCATGTGAATCATTGCCACCTCTGTTTTAATATACAGCTATGACTCCATAAAAATAGATTCGAGGTCAGAAATGGGGGCTTACGAATCACCTTTTGCATCAGTTTTTTCAACTCTACATCATCAACGTGCTGTCTTCCTTTTTCGAATAGCTCATCAATTGATTTGCACAGAAAAACATTTTTATTCACCTGAAACATAGGTGCTATCAGGCAACAGTATATAAGCACAATACAGTTGGCAATTAGCTTTTACATTTCAAACTAAATATTTAAAAACTCTGTAAAATAGATGACGCACATATATACAGTACACAGGAATTGCATCATCTAATCCTCTTTCTCCATGTAGGACAAGAGATCTCTTCTTACCCATGAGTTTTAACTAGTGACACTAATTACAGTAAAATTAAGAATTTTGGCATATAATTGTGAAAAGGGTATCAGTTCATTAAAAGAAAAATAAAGAATTAGCACGCCGACAGTTAACATAAAAATGCATAGCGCCCCCTAAAAAGTCATTCTTACAATTAAAGGTGTGGTAGAATACACAAATATGGAGGGACTGCTGCCTCATAGGAGATAGTACTGATACGATCCTATGTACCATACTACCAAGTACATGGCACTTAACTTTTCCTTTAGCTTAGATAGCACTTTATGGCCATTTATGATCTCAAAGCAGGGTATTCCCTTTGTATGTGTATGTCTAAGTATCGTGGTTCTTTTCCTTAAAAATGGAAAAATAAAATTGCATATTTCTCAAAACTGGAAAAATAAAGGTTGTGAAGAGAATTCCTTTTTATTCTCTATTTAAATACATCGTGCATGATTCATTAATACTCCGTAAAATAACTGGTATGGATTATGGATGTGTTCGTTTTAGACAATTGTAGATTTTTTAGTAATAGATCTTCCAGCTAAATATGACACACATACTCATTCAAGTATTTCCGAAACACTCTCCTTTTACTAAAATCAAGCAAACACCAACCCATATAAAAACATCATCTTGAGACCAGAATTTAGTTTAGAACATCACATTAGTAGCAAAATGATCCAATATTAGAAAACATATCTTCTTCCTGGTTGTTCAAACACAGAGCATATAAAGATTGAAACTGAAAATATAATTGTTTCAGTAAAAAGAAAGTATTAGAAAGAAAATGACTACCAACTTCCGACGCTTCGCTTTAGGGGATTTGAATTTCCGGACGGTCTTGACGAAGGCAATAACAAAAGTGACGCCAAAATAAGCCAATGGCACGGCAAGAATCCATGGCAAGGAGCTCCGGCCTACACGAGGCCCAGGAATGGCCTCGGTGACGGAACCTGTAAATTCAACAATATCCATTGCCTTCTCTTGTATCCAGGGTAGTTCTTCCTCAACATATTCTACTGCATCTTCTTTCAGCTTCAGTTCTTTCTTATCAGGATCACCAATCGCGCCACCGCTGCTGCTTGTGGCCGCCACTCTGGCGAAGGACGATGAGCGGCAGGTAATAGTAGAAAATAATAAGAACTCGAAAGGATCGTGTTTGCTGCGGTTTAACTGCGATATTTTCCATTTGGGAAAACGGAAAGAGCCAGTGGCGGCGGTGGGAGGAGATAGAATCGTGAGCCGTTGGGAATTGCGTACCAGAGAACAGCTGCAGAGGGTAGAACACGCAGAGAACGCCATTGCGGAGACAGAAAGGTTTCTCGTGGGCGTGATAGCCGCAACGGCTGCTTTTGCTGCAGCGGCAGCGGCAAAGCTGGCCGGCAAAACTCGGGCCCAAAATTGTTGACCCGAAACTGTGTATTTGCAGTTGTTACTCCGTATAACGTTGGAGTCCACGGTGAGCGCTTCCATAATCTGTTAGGAACATCGAACCGAAACCCAGAAAGTGAAATCGGCCCAAAATTGTTGATCTATGTCCGGGTTTTTTCCTTTTAACCGGCCAGAATAAAAAACCTCGGACCAAACCCGAAATTTCAGCCATATTAACGGATCTTTAAGTCCGTAATCTGGCCCGGACCGATAAAAATTCGAAACAATTTACTTTAATATAAACTCAATATAATATATGAATATAGTTTATAAATTAATTATTAATATATGATTATAATCCTTGCGGATACAAAATGATTCAGTAGCTTTTAGTGACTACAAATATGTTCAATGTATTTACCGTAATGGCCATGAAAATATATTTACAGTAACTTTAGTCACATTTTTATACATAAGTTTTATTTCGTCACATTTTTAATAAACATGCATTATTTATTTATATGCATCTTAAACTAACTATTATGATAATTATCTTCTTTGATTTTGAATTGTTGGTTAGACTAATATTTGTGTTATTATTTGCTGTTTGTACTTTTGATTAATTTTATTTGAAAATATGTTTTAAAATATAAAAGGACAATGAGATGATTTCACGTCCGTGTTTAACCGACACACCCTGAACCCGAACCGAGCTACAAAAACACCCGACTCGGCTAGAATATAATGAGTTTTGCTCCGGACCCTAATTTTCATAATCCGAGACCTTACGGGGTCATTTACGGGTTTACAAAAAAACCGTAAATAGATAAGAAATGTAACTTATCTAATAAAAAAATGAGAAAAGGATCAAATAATGTCTTTTACTATTATGGAATCACCACATATGACCATGTACACAATAAAGTGTCATATAAATACATCTACTTATAAAAACCTATCAGATGAGTTCAAACGACCTGTTGACAACCTCATAATCTCGATTTTAGTGTACGTTTGACTATCTTTTTAGAATAGATCGTAAGGAAGACGTGGAATATTTAGCTCATATTGGTTGAAATACAAGGCAAGAGTAACGGCACATAACTAAAATCGGGATTAAGAGGGTTTCAACGTGTCGTTAGGACTCATCTGATTTCTTTTTATAAGCAGATGTATTTGTATGACACTTTATTGAGTACATGACCATATGTAACGATTTTGTAATAGTAGAAAAAGTACAAAAAAACATATATTACAAAAAAACGATTTTGTAATATATGACACTTTTTTCTCAATAAAAAAAGTACAAAAAAATAAAACATCTTCGGTCACCAATGCAAGCGTTGAACTAATTTCGGTTCAAAATTTTCTCACTTAACTAGGGGTATCACTCTCGACTACACTGAGACAGTGAGACATCTCTTTGATACTCAAGGTGACACATATGTGTGTGTCAACTGGTATTATCATTCTCGAATGAAAGATTTAGTCCTGAATTTCTTCTTTGTCAGTGAATTGGTTGAACGATGGCTATTTAACGTCAAACATATCTATATCTATATCTATATAATATAATAAAGCAAGGTGGATTTTATGGTACCCATAAGGTATTAAGGTACCATACCTTTGGAGGATCATTGAAGGAATCCCTTGGATAATCATTGAAGGAATTTTTGACATGTGGACATACTCTTTATTGGAAAATGTGACATGTGTCAACATTACAATAAATACCTTATTCCCATGTCTCTAAACACATGTATACATGACATGCAATCTATGTAGAACACCATTTAAATAGAAGGGTAAAATACACGTAGGGATTACTTTAAAATTACTCTCTGCGTCCCTTAAAATTTGACCAAGTTTGTCTAGCACGGAAATTAATAAAATAAAAATTGTGTAGTAGTTATTTATACCGAGGAGAGGGAATTAACTAGAATCATGAATTCTTTACTTAATAAGAGAAGTGGCAATATTAGTGGGACAACTAGAAATTAAAAAAAAAGTTGACAAAGTCATAAGGAAAAACTTTAAAAGGGTAACATCTCGTGGGAAAATTCTTTACCTCAAAGGGAGTATCATTTAACATTATCAACAATGTTCATAACTAGCATTTAAAAGGGTAAATGAAAACCTATTTAACTTCCCAACTTTACATGCACATATATAAAGGAAACATATCCAACTTCAACTTATAACGGTTTACAATGTACAGTCACTACCATTTCATTACTTTTACATCGCACACACACTTTTATGTTTGCGATGTAAATAATACTACATCTGTTCTTTTTTAATTGCAATAGTTTGAGTTTCATGTTATCAACACATAACTTTGTCTGTAATTATATTTAAGTGTATATGAATAGATTTTATAAAAATTTAATATTGTGGAAGTTCACATTAAAAGAAATTTAATAATATTTTACATATAATAATTTGATTATATATTTCTAGAAAATCGATCATGATCAAAGTAAAGTGTGTAAATAGTGTAAAATTCAAAGTGTTGCAATTATTAAAGAAAGGAGGAAGACATGCTAACAAACTTGCTAAGAATTTTTCCAATTGGAATGGTTCCAAATTGATCAAATAATTGTAAGTCGGGTTTGGTTTGTTTAATTCTGATCTACTCAGGTATAATATTTATGTTCGATTAGGTCTTTTTAATTTTGATCGAGACGAGGCTAAAGAAACTTTAAATGAAAATATCTTAGTCGTTTTAAAAGATGTAGAACTAACAAACAGTTCCAAAACACATAAATTTAGTTTTTGACAACCTTACTAACTTTTACATTCATTTCTAGCTATTGTTGTTGAAATTGTAACAAAATTCTTAGTTTTTCAAACAAAAAAACCTACATAACAGGTCAAAAACGGTTCAAGCCTTATTTGAACCACCCCAAATGGCGAAGGCCGAACAGAGCCTCTTAAATAAGGCCTTATTCGACCCTTTTTGGTTAGTATGTGGACTCATTTGTCCCTTTTCCCAAATTAAAACTATATTAGTAATATTTAATTCCTTAGGGATATGACATGTATTAAATATATCAATACATAGCTGAACTACCACTGCTCCCACAACATCCCAAAATTTTTGTAAAAAAAAAAAAAAACGGATTCATACAATCTGCACCTGGTGCTTTATCTGGATGCATGGCAAAAAGCCCATTATTCTGGGCATCCTAAAATGTTTAGTAATTATCAATATCCATAATCCACATTCCACATTATGAACTCGACCATGTAATACATTTGCTTAGTGAATTTTCAATTTGACAGGTTCTAAATTGAGACAGAGGTGGGTTATAAACACCATAATTGTTCTAAACCAAGTATTGTGCACTTCAATGGTTCTACATAAGTATTTTTTTATCACGAATAGAAGTTGTATCATTTGGAGCTAGTACGAACGCTTCAGAATGACACATATTTGAAATTAATATCTGTAATAATTGGAATTATTCATGAAGCCGGGATTATTCGTGCAAATCTTTCCTTGTTTTTAAGTGTATATCACTATATTGTATATATGTAAACCAGGAAGATTCATACAAGAAGCAATGCTAATAGTAGCTGCATAAATGTCATTGTTACAATTTCAATTAATTAATATAATCATGTTGTAACTTAACTTGTTTATGCAATTATGTATGTGTCTCTGTCTGTGAGCGCAAACAGGATATCATAATAAAGAATGACTACTACATCAATAAACACAAATGGACATCAAAAGTTGAGCTATTGAAATCAAAATCAGTATTCCATAGGAATGATGCTTACACTGATGCTTACAAAATTGCAGAGGAAGAAGAAGAGAAACTATGTATTGATGGGTATGCATTTGAACCAGTCAATCAGGACTCAGGAATGGGATCGTAAATGGGCAGCGCCACAGAATCCAATAGCTTCAAGTGCAGCGCCCTGATCCCGCCCCACTTCTTAGGAACCACCTCAGCGATCCCATCTATGGCCGCCATCACATTCTCAACTATTTCCCCGCTCCCCATCGCTTCTCTCCCCACCTTCACTACACTGCAAGTCCCCGTCCCGAAACACAGTAGACACGAGCGGCAAGCCACCTCGATTTCCTCCTTCCAGTTCCGGTCGCCCTTCAACTCCACCGGCACCGGCACTCTCCTCTTGTTCCTGTAAAATTGCTTCCCCAGTACATCCGGGAGGAAATGCACCACCCTCTTATCCGCCAGAAACAAGTCGTGCGATTCTAACAGCTTCCGCTTCGCGTCGAAGGATCTGTAATCGGATTTGAGCTTGGAGAGCTTGAGGATTCTGGTAATCGGGGCGCCTAGGGATTTAATCTTCTTCTGTACGGCATCGGAGGATAGCGTGGTCCGGGAATTGAGGACCTGAGTGGGCTTGTCGCCGACGATGAGGCAGATGTTCGAGAAAGGTATGAGGCCGTGAGGGAGCGGGATTCTGATTGGATCTGACGCGGGTGAGAGGTTTTTGGGTGGGGTTTTCATCAGAGTCACGACGACGTAGATGAAGCCGCCGCCGCCGTCGATGTCTTCTTCTTCTTCTCCAACCCCTTGCGAGGTGGTTTTGGACTGGAGTTTCCTCCATTTTAGAAGAGCGTTTACCGCTTTCCTGACTGTTCCTTCGCTGATGTTCTCGGCGTTTTTCCCAGCCGCAGCGGCATAGTCAGCCATCCGGAGAAAGGAGGGTAGACGGAGCTGTCGGGTCAGAGCGGCGCGTGGATGTGCTCTTGGGCCTAGGGTAAAACAATATAGAGACGCGGGGCTGCAGCGACGCGGACTGGGTTTCGTACTTTCGTAAGTTTCGTTTCTATGGGTGAATCAGTCCCTCGAGAACATAAACTAATACTCCCAACAAAAAAAGATGACACCCCATCTCTAGGGAAGGGAATGGGGCGGGGTTGGGGCGGGGGTTCACTCCCCCATCCCCCGCCCCGTGTCTAAAAAATCGCCCCCACCCCCGCCCTATCCCCCACTACTATTCGACCCGCCCCATCCCCCGCCCCGACCCGCTAGACCCACGGGTACCCAACGGGGAAGTACTCGTCAAAAATTAACATCATTTTAGACTCTGACAATTTTTCAAAAATTTAACAACACTTCTAGTAGCCATTTTTTTTTTACTTTTCAAGTGTCAATGTAATCTTACATCCCATTTCAAATCTAGAACAAATTATACACGTTCTAAATTAGTAATTTTTATCAAACTCTAAATTAGCATTGATTAGCTCTATAATATTTTCTTAAACCCTGCATTCAATCAATCATGGTCATTTGACGTCATCTAGGACGACATATGATCACCAAATTTTAAGAGCCCTAACTACAATCATAAAGATGACATTCAAAAGAAAAGAATTAATGCATTATAATAGTAAAGGAAAAAAACTTTCGCACCGTGCCTGAAGCGTTTAAGCTAATATCACTTTATAACTTTCCCAAATTAATTTTATTTTATCTCTAAAAAAATCATTTTACTTTATGATTTTGATAAGCAATTTTACAAGATAGCTTAGTTATTAAACAAGAATTAGATAGATCCATTACGCACAATCCATTAGATAGGAAACCACTAAACCCACCGGACCACCATGCTATTTTAATTACTTCATATTAGTATTACTATTATTATTAGTATTATTATTGAGATTATTATTATTAATTATTACGGGGGACGGGGCGGGGACGGTGCGGGGGTGCATAACCCATCACCCGCCCCATATTTTTGCGGGGAGAAAATATCTCCCCCACCCCACCACCCGCCCCACCCCACCACCCGCCCCAACTCCCCCCCACGGGGCGGTTCCCCACGGCCCCCCGCCCCCATTGCCATCCTTACCCATCTCTAAGGCCCCCAACACTGATCGGACGGCACGATGGGAGGATGTAAATTGGATTATAATCACAATCTGACAGATAGAGAATGGGGCTCTGTCCCCGGTACTTGCAGAAGCCCTATGCATTTTTCAGCATAGTAACCCCTCATCGCAGTTGTCGGGATTCGAACCTGAGACCTAACCCGTGTGGCACTCTCTAGCATACTCCTTCCGTCCCGAACAGAAATTGACGTTTGCTTTTAGCAGAATATTTTAGGAATTCAATTAATAGAAGAACAAATGACTTTTAGGGAGAATTAATGTTATTCACTCAAATGTAAAAAGTGAGTGGGTAGTAAATGGTAGTTAAGAGTGGGTAGTTAATGTAAAAAGAGTGGTCTAAAAAGGAAACTTAAAGGAGTAAATGAGACATCCCAAAAAAGGAAAGTGTAAAGATTTGAAATGGGACGGAGAGAGTACAATAATTCAATATTACACTGAGATGAGACATCCCTATGAGTCTGTTTGCAACAGCTTCTACTTAAAAAATATTTTTTTTAATGAAATGGTGAGAAGTGATTAAATACAAGTTAATAGTGTTTGGGGAAAAAGTGATTTTGAAAAGTAAAAGTTGTTAATGTTTGGTAAAATAAGTGCCTTTGTGTAATAGAAAAAGTAAAAACACTTTTGACACGAAAACCGAGAAAAATAAAAGTTAGTAGTGCTTGGTAAAAGAAATGCATTTTTAAGCCAAAAGGTGATAAGTGCTTTTTTTAAAGCATCTGCAAACCAACCCATAGAATCAATAAGTCCCCAAGGATAGATGATATTCGCTAACTCCGCAATGATGTAGACTAATCTAATAACGCTGCTGAACTTGCTATTAACATGGGAGATAACTAAACAATTTTTTTAGATAAAAGCAACAAAATAAATTGAGGAAGCGGTTCAGCCCAGCTAGTCGCCGACTCACTCTCCCTTATGGGAGGTTCTGTGTTCAATTCTCAATGGAGTGAGATTGATCTCAGTTTAAGAAAAAGCAACAAAATAAATCAAACATCTCGGTTTTACGAGCCACCAAAAAGGGAAAAAAGCTTTGTCCATCAACCTCCAAAGAAAGCATCTCGATTTTATCAGCCACCGAGAAAGGGAGAAGAGGTTTGACCAGCCACCTCCAAAGAAATCTCGTTTACGGGACCTGTTAATATTTTAGGTGGTGTTGTTCCGAGAGCACCGTTGCCTTGCCGTTTTTTATCTATCACCATCAACCTCCTCGATTAACATCCTTTCGCAAGCCTGATTTAAGCTCTTCATTAATGGTCAACAGAATGAACGTTGTATCCAAGACACAGAAGAAGATGCCGCATAACTCACAATCAAAAGTCCAAAACACGTTCGCAATTGAAACAGATTAACCCCTCTGCCAGAACATTTAGTCGGACAAAATTCTCGACAACACATAAACGCTACACAACCACCTCAACCAAAGCACCTCAATGAAGTAGCTCCGAAACGAAAATCGTACCTATACACACAGTCGATTGTCGAGCATCCCCTGTGTAGAATGCGATTCCAGCCTCGAAACATATCTCTGCGTCATTCGATCGCTAAATGTAAGGAGCATAGCGGCCGCCGCACACCAGGGTGCATCATGTTTATCTTCTTGTTCAGTCTTCTGAAATAATCTCACTACTCAGGATTACCTAGTATATCTCACTTTTTATTTTAGGTGTCTTACCTTTTCTAATTATCTCAAAATAAGTGTTATTTAATTATGGGAGAAGGCTCAAAAATGACACTAAAGTTATTTACAAAGTTCGGATAAGACATTAAACTTTAAAGTAGACCAAATAAATACATAATCAACTTATTTGGACTATATTTGGCCACCCACTTATAACTCTATTACACCCATCGTTAACTACTTATGCCTTTGTACTCATTCTTTACCGGCTTATATGACTCCACTCCCGCATCTCTCTTTCACTTCCCCATGGCCAAACAAACCTCTCTTCTATTTTCCTATCAAAATGAGTGAAAATCGTATCTCTTCTATTTCCGACGTGAAGGATCTGACTTCAGAGATCTGGCGACATGGGAGCAAGCCGGCGCTATCGCCGGAGATCTGGTAGTCACCGCAACCAAAGACCTGCAGCGGGCATCCTCATTATACTTTGGTTCAATCATCTTTCACTTAGGTCGAGAGAATGAGCCAACTCAATGAATACTCATCGTTGACATCTGCAAAAGGATCTGAACCCCTATTGAACAGGGACAGACCGAATCGACTTCAGATCTGTCACGCCCCGGTCTGGCCGGACGCGCTAACAACCGCCGCATAATCCGATTAAGGCAACCGCAGTTCACCCTACTCGAACCATGCTAGGCGTACATGAATATCATTCACACAAGTACATCCATAAACAATCATAAATAAAGCATTTCAAATATACGCAGCGGAATACAAATACTTTTAAGAAGTAAAAGGCCACACAGGGCGAACATGAGCACGCAGGCTCCCAAATCATTTATAATTTAAAAATAGTCCATGAGCATTATTTTCTTTATATCAAAATAGAACTGGAAGAAGCACGAACCACGTCTTCTCTCCATGGATCACCCGAAGCAACGGGAACAGGAAGCAAGCTCTAGCTTCTACCTGAAACTGTGAGGTGGCCTCCCCCGTGAAGGGGAGGTCAGTACTTGGAAGCATTTGACAAGTACAATGACAACTATACTGAATATAATTCATGTTTCAAACACAAGACCCTCAAAATAGGGTGATACTATATTATGGGCATAACCTACAGCTACCCCATTTCAAATCACTTGTATAGAATATATATACCAAGTCAAATAGCCGACCCGTAGGTCCATTTGTATTTCAAAACAATTCCCCTTGTATAGCCCTTGGCCTATTCTTGCATATAGCAATATCGAGAGGTTATCCCACCCCTAGTCTAAACCCAACTCCATCGAGAGGGTTACACAATTTGTCATTTGTACCCGTCCACGTTGGACTTACCCACCCTACGGGTGTATTCATTCATTTTGGGCTTACACCCCCAGTATAATATCTTTGATTCATTTAGGGCTTACACACCCCGTATATTCTTAGTTCGTGTAGGGCTTACACACCCCGTATAATACTTTACTCATTTAGGGCTTACACACCCCGCGTAATACTTTACTCATTTAGGGCTTACACACCCCGCGTAATACTTTACTCATTTAGGGCTTACACACCCCGCGTAATACTTTATCATGTAGGGCTTACACACCCCGTATAATACTTCATTCATTAGGGCTTACACACCCCGCGTAATGCTTTATTCATTAGGGCTTACACACCCCGCGTAATACTTTATTCGTGTAGGGCTTACACACCCCGCGTAATATCCTTTATCTCGTTAGGGCTTACACACCCCGTATATATATCCCCGTATACTCATTGTACACGAGCAATCATAATCTATCAACCTCGGGCTAGTCTTCATCAAGACTCCCCGGGCTGCCTTCATATAGTCTAGGTAGACTCCACCATTTCCTTTGAGTGTGACCATAGTCCACCACTCATTCTAAGTTCATGCCTATCTAATTCAATACTATAGATAGCACATACAATTAATTACTACGGATTCATATCACTTTGATCATGTCAATAACTCAAGTATTCCTTACTTCACATTTAATCATTTTGCCTATCCACATAGGTATCCATATATCCCTTTTAAGATCTTATGGAATCACACATTTATCAACATTTGTCTATATCATGCTAATCCTCTATATTAATTCAATAATTAATATATTTCAAGGATTTCTCCCCTCATGCATAATACCTTTGCTTATTCACCTTTGTAATATCATGTATCAATTTATATGACCACATAACAACACATTTATTCACATTGGAGTATAACATTTAATTCCATCAAAATCATAATTTGATTACTTAGGTAATCTCATGCTCAACTCACG